GATCGAGCGGCTCGTCGAGTGCGACCCCGATCAGATCGCCAACTTGGTGAAGCGACAGCCCATCCTGACGATCCGTGGCAAGCACCTGCCGGTGTTCCCGCTCGACGCCCTGGCGGGTTTCCACCGTCCTGCTGAAGCCGGTCCGGGGAAGGTGATCGTTGTGGCGAAGGCCGGCAATCACACGTTCGGTCTCCTGGTGGATCAAGTCGTCAATCGGCAACAGGTCGTCATCAAGCAGCTCGGCGACGCGATCGGCGGAATCGAAGGTGTGACCGGCGGCGCCGTCATGGGAGACGGACAGGTGGCGCTGATCGTCGATCTGGCGGGGATGCACCAACGCGTCCTCAAGCGACGCTCCGCCGGTTGAATCCCCATCCAACAGCCGGGCAACCGGTCGCAACTTTCCTCACCGCTACTAGCAGCCCCGAAGACGCCCTATGTCAACCGCCGCCCCGATCGCCAAGAACGACGCCTCGACGAGCAGCCAGTCCGAGATGTACCTGACCTTCAAGGTGGGCGACGACGAATTCGGCGTGCCGATCGTGCGGGTTCGGGAGATCATTGGCATCCTGCCGATCACCCAGGTGCCGGACGGGCCCGATAGTATCCGTGGCGTCATCAACCTCCGCGGCCGGGTGATCCCGGTTATGGATCTACGGTGGCGATTCCGCATGGACGGGGACACCACATCGTTCCCCCGGGCCTGCATCATCGTCGCCGAGGTCCAGCAGGGCGGCCGCTTCGTCGATCTAGGGCTGCTGGTTGACGCGGTGCGTGAGGTCTTCACGCTCGAGGCCCGCGAAGCGCATTCTTCCGAGGACTTCCAGGCCACGATCGAGCAGAGCTGCATCGCCGGTCTGGCGAACGACGAGAGCGGCATCAAGATCCTGATCAACGTCGACAGCCTCCTCACCGCGAGCCAACTCGGACTTTCAATGTTCGATGGCAGCGACGCATCCAGCCGCTCGATGCGAGTGGCGTCGGAGGCGCCATGCTGATCGAATCACTCGACGACGCCCTCTTCGAGCAATACCGCGGACTGATACAGAAGCTGTCGGGCGTCACGCTCGCGGACGCCAAGCACAGCTTCCTGCAGACTAGGCTCCGTAGCCGCCTGCACGCCGCCGGCTGCGAGTCGTTTGCGGTGTACTACGAGCTGCTCGAAGGCGGCGCGGACGGCGCCGAGGTGAAGCGCTTTATCGACGCCGTCACCACCCACCACACGTTCTTCTTCCGTGAGGCCCATCACTTCGAGCTTCTGGCCCGGCACGTCGCCGCGAAGTCCAATGCTGGGCAGACACGGTTCCGGTTCTGGTCGGCCGCCTGCTCGACGGGGGAAGAACCCTACTCGCTGCTGATGACGCTTGCCGAACGGCTCGGCGACGGCGGCCTCGCGCGGCTGGACCTCAAGGTCCTGGCGACCGACATCTCCGCGCCGACGCTCCGCAAGTCGGCCGAGGGCGTTTACGCACAAGAGCAGCTGCGCGGCCTTTCGCCCGAGCGACTGCTGCGCCATTTCAAACCGGCCGGCGACGGCGGTTCGTACCAAGTGACCCGTCAACTCCGCGACCTCGTGACGCATGCAGAGTTGAACTTGGTGCATCGGCCTTTCCCGATGAAGGGACGCTTCGACGCGATCTTCTGCCGCAACGTGCTGATTTACTTCGACCCACCAACCCAAGTCGATGTCCTGCGCCGCATGGCGGCTCGGCTTGCGCCGGGCGGGCTGCTGTTCGTCGGCCTCACCGAAACCGCGATGCACGCCGAGCTCGACCTCGAGTTCGTCGCCCCCGCCGTCTATGCCCGCCGCCACGAGTGCGGCCCGTCCAGTGCAGGCATGGCGCAGGACGCCGTCCCGGCTTTCGCCAGCTGACCATCCAACCGAATCCAAGCCATGAAGGTTCTAATTGTCGATGATTCCGCGGTGGTCCGGCAACTCCTTGCTCAGGAGCTATCGAAGGACCCGCAGATCGAGGTCGTCGGCGCCGCGCCCGATCCCTACGTCGCCCGGCAGATCATCGCCGAACGGCGGCCGGACGTGCTAACGCTCGACATCGAAATGCCGCGGATGGACGGTCTGACGTTCCTGTCGAAGCTCATGCAGCACCATCCGCTGCCGGTGGTAGTGCTTTCGTCGCTGTCCGAGAAAGGGAGTCGCGTCGCGCTCGAGGCGTTGTCGCTGGGCGCCGTCGAGGTGCTCCACAAGCCGACCGCTGCGCACGCCGTTGGCGATGTGGTCCAAGACCTTTGCCGGAGCGTCAAAGCCGCTGCGCGGGCCAAGGTCCAGACGGTCTCGCCGGTGGAGACGCGGTCTTCGCTGTCAATGACGCGGATCACGAATCGGATCATCGCGATCGGCGCGTCAACTGGTGGCACCCAGGCGATCGAGTTTCTGCTGAAGCAACTGCCGCACGATTGTCCCCCGATCCTCGTCGTGCAGCACATGCCGCCGACATTCACCAAACAGTTCGCCGAACGGCTCGATTCGCTCTGTCGAGTCAGCGTCAAAGAAGCTTGCCACGGCGACCTGCTCGCGCGTGGCCAAGTGCTGATCTCGCCCGGCAGCCTGCACATGCAGCTCCGCCGTAGCGGCGCGCAGTTCTTCGTCGAGCTTTCCGATGGGCCTGAGGTTTGCGGCCACCGGCCAAGCGTTGACGTGATGTTCTCTTCCGTCGGCAAGTACGCTGGGCAGAATGCCGTCGGCGTGCTGCTCACTGGCATGGGGCGCGACGGCGCCGAGGGCCTGCTCAATATGCGGGCCGTCGGCGCCGCCACGATTGCCCAGAACGAAGAGACTTGCGTCGTCTTTGGCATGCCCAAGGAAGCTATCAAGCTCGGCGCGGCCTCACAGGTCCTGCCCCTGAACACCATCGCCGGCGCCGCCCTGGCGGCCGCCTCGGCGCCAGAGTCCTCGACCAACAAACCCGCCTTGATGGCGACCTGATAATCCAGTCGTACCGAACTCGATCCATTCGTTCCGTAAGAAGACACTGCCGTAACCGGGATACCAGACCATGTCCGCCCATCGTCACGCCCTCTATCTTGCGCTATCGTTCGCCGCTTTCGGCCTGGCGCCGCTATGTGGAGCGGTGCTGATCGGAGCGCCCCAGTCGGCGTTCGGCGTCGCCGCGTTATTGGCGCTTCCTCTGCTCGGCGCCGGCGTGGTCGTTTGGTTGCAGACAAAACTAGAGAAGCAGATTGAACGTCTCGCCGATGTCACTGAGCGTGTCGCGCAAGGCGAGCTAGACATCGAACCCACCGAGACCTACGCCGGCGCATGCGGCAGACTGTCGGAGGCGGTCGTCGCCCTGGGTGTCACGGTCCGCGAGCTCGACGAAGAAATGCTGCAGGTGGCCGACGCCGTCGCCGCCGGCAACCTTGCCGAGCGTGGTGAGCTCCGGCGCTTCCGAGGCGCCTACCACGGGTTGCTCGGCCACTTCAACAACGCGATCGAATCCGTCACCGAGCCGGTGATCGCGGTCCAAGAGGTGTTGGACGCCGTTGTCGATGGCGACCTCACCGCTCGACTAGAGGGCGACTACCGGGGTGAT